TCAATGGTTAGATACGCTACAGATCTGCCTCTGTTATTAACAGTGATGTCACAATCGGATGAAGCCAGGATTACTTTTAATAAAAAGGTCAGAATTTTTAAAATTTTATAAACTACTGCTTCTATATATATATATATATATATATATAGAATCAGTAGTTTATAAAATTTTAAAAATTCTGACCTTTTTATTAAAAGTAATCCTGGCTTCATCCGATTGTGACATCACTGTTAATAACAGAGGCAGATCTGTAGCGTATCTAACCATTGAACCGATTGAGAAAAATGTAGACCAATTTTTATCATTTGCGCTAGGTTTGTGACCTTCTACTGATATCCAGTCTAAAATATAAACTTATGTTAGTTTATATTGTTTTATAAATAAGTATACAAGATTAAAATTTTACATTAATTGATCATTTTTTTTCTTTGTTATTGATTGTTTGATGAAAACTTACTTGGTGTGGGTTTATGGCCAAAAACGCCGCAAAACATTGCCGGGAGCCTAACGGATCCACCGATGTCTGAACCCAGACCTAGAATCGAAGCGCCAGAGCCAAGAAGAGCAGCCTAAAATATAATGTTTAACTATTATAAAATTCCATTATTTATATAAAAGTTTATACATATTATTTATATAAGGTTTATTTATATAAGAATTTTTGACGAATTTTCGTAATAAAAATTTGTAATTATAAAAGAACCTTCGTATCATTTGTATAGAAGAAATATACCTCGCCACCGGAAGAGCCACCAGCGGTCCTCCGTGTATCATAGGGATTCCTGGTGATGCCAGTTATTTTGTTAAATGTATGCCACCACATACACAATTCTGGAGTGTTACTGACAAGAAGAGGAATCCCACCGGCTTTGCGAATCCTCGTCACAACGTCGGCGTCTTCTATCGCTCTCAAGGAAATATCTTTCATTCCCACAGAATAACTCATTCCTAAACAAGTCTTATGTTTTGAATATATACATATATGTTATTATATTACATGCTAATATAAATGAGGATGTTAAAAAGAGGTCAATAACTTTTTTTTATAGATTTCATCTCCCTTTTTCATATTATGTATTTGTAAAAATTATATGCAAAGGTATGATAAATTTTCATCTCAGAGAGAGAGAGAGAGAGAGAGAGAAAACTCGGAAATTAAAAAATTTTTACATTAATTTTTGGTACACAAGTTCCTGGCACTTGTGATGCGTAGGAGAATTAAAATTAATTTATTATTTGCTACTTAAAATAATATATGCAAAGTACCTGAGTATTTGTCTGGAAGTCTAAAGATTTCTGTGAAATCAATTTTTAATTTATGTAAAATTTAAATACGTCAATACTCCACGTTGGACATGCATAGTAATCAGTATACGGAATGATAAAACAATGTCTAACACAATATATTACATCAAAAAAAATTCTTAGAAAATTCTAAAAAAAGCTTATTTATCAGGATGAGTTAACTGATAGGAAAACATTTCGCTAAACCGTGCGAATTACTAGATCATAGTCATATGTGCTAACGAGTTAACTAAGTAATTCAACTAGAGATAAAAGGAGAGAAACATAAGAAAAGCTAGCGACCTTAATATTTTGCGCTTGATATAATTTTATAGAACTATTAATTATTGTATCCATTTTTTTATTTTTATTTTCTTATAATTTTGTGCATGCATGCGTGCGTACGTGTGTGATATCCAAATGTTTATTAGTATCAATCGTAAAATTGAAATGCAAAAATGTAAAACGTACTGGGACTATTGAGCGTTCTGAATACTTTGAAATTTGCACAACAAATGTGAACCTGAGTTTAATAGTTTTGACAAACATCGATCAAATATTATATGACATTTAGCACAATTTCATATTATTACATAAAATTCCATTGTAATTAATTCCACAAGCAAAAATAAGTAAATACGTATATATCGATTTAATGTAAAGTTTATATATACAGGGTGTGTCATAAGTCTAGAAACAGTTGAATATCTCGAAGGCAAAGCATTTTTGAGAAAAATATTTTAGACAAAAGTTATAGGGCTTAAAAATCTATTCACTGAATACATCTGCTTGATCTTGAATAGCGTCGCTACTCCAAGATCAGATCAAGATCAAACTAATTTTTTTTAAATAGAACACCCTATTTTTGATTTGAGAATGTAATAGCTGATGTCAAGAGCTTTCAAAACACTATAATAAAGTTATTTTTCATTAAGTATTTTTTTAGTTATAAGGTTTGTGAAAGTTATACAGTACCGCTGGCATTAGCATTACGCAAGGTATTCAATCGACGGCTAAAACCTCTTGAATATTGTTCAGGATAATGTCTTGGATAACATTTGTCAAGATCAAAGTCATGGAAGATTGTTTTTCTTATTTCCATTTTTACGTAAAATGAATTCTTAGTGCAAACTATATGCATGCAAACAGTATGCATTCAAATCGTGGAAAAATGAAAGTATGTAACTCACCTTGAACAGCAATACTTTCTTTAATTGTGACAGGTAGCCCGAGTAACGGTTTTTCGTTCGCAATTTTCGCCTCGTCTATTATCGTTGATTGTAGGAAATTATCGATTTCACGTGCCTCTCGAATTGCCGCATCGAAACGATCTTCTACAATAGCATTGATCAATGGATTTACTATCTTGCATCGCTCCACATATGTGACGATCACTTCCTCGGAGCTGATCTGCCAAAAATTAAGTTATTAACTTTGAATAATTTTGGTTCAATTATATTCAAGTGATTTTTCAGCATGCATCAATTTGGCAATAATATATTGCCTTCTAAGATAAGTAAAATCTTTCGAGTCTAATCAACAGAGTGACAGTAAACTTACTTCTTTTTTACGGATTTTCTGGGCAATTTCTGTCGCCGACAGTAGCAAAATTTGATTTTCGATCGGTGGACATCGTAGTCTTTTCTTCAAACTTAGCAATTTGAATAAAGGCCCGAGCAAACAACGTAGAAAAAAAAAAAAGTACTTTATTATCCTCATCGCTTAAATCTTCTGTATAGAATCTTCGGTATAACTCTGATAATTTTCTTCTGATAAAGATAATTCTGATAAAGTTCTGATAATTTTTTTTATATCGTTAAGACACAAATCATTAATAAAATCTCGAGTGAATTTATAATCTTTCCATAATATGAATTATTCTTATTGCTTAAAAAAAATCTTTATTACGTATTTCTCTTTAAAGATTTCAAATTTTTCAGCTTTGCAATTTATAATCACGTTGGTATGCGATCCATGCAGAATTAAAAATTTCGAATGTTCTAAATAAGGAGAAAAGTTTTATTTTTAGGTCACGAAATATTACCACATGCATTTTATATTATTAACTTAAACTCACTGAATGAACAAAACAGAGATCACTGCAGAGAATGTTTAATAATAAATGGAAACTCCATGACGCATTCTATCACGTTATTGCGATTTATCCCACTTGATTGTTTCTAATTAATCCAGCGATGTTATCGTAAGTCTCACTGACTGCAAAAACACGCTTGTGTTAACTACAGGAAACGTGTGACTGGAATTACGAAATTTTTAATTTATGTATTTAATTTAACACTACTTAAAGTCGTTGAATCATCAACAGAGGAAATATCTTTAAGAAGATGTTCTAATCAAAAACAATAAAAAAAGGAAGATCGATCGTTGCCTCGATATATTAAAGTATAATTTCAATATTAATTATTGAATTTAGTGAGAAATTCTTTCAAATTTTCCAATAATCAAGCAAAAAAAAAAGTAAAATAAGGATATTCGAAATATTGTTAATATTTAATATTTTGAGGAGTACAATATAACTATAATTGACGTAATTTTGATATAAAAGGTAAATATTTCTGAATCAATTTATTCGATTACAAGATTGTCGCTAATACAATGTTTCGTCATTTGTCCACAAAACTTTTCTAAAAGGCAATGAAAATGGACGTGTGAAATATATTGCTTAATTTAACATCGACGTTAAATATCGCGAAGTATTATCACTAAGAGAAACTGTTCATTACATAGAGCCGATGTTAATTTTATGAAAGATGCAATCACTTATGTTAAGCATGAATGTCTAACGCAATACTTTGTGGACACTTCTTCGAGGTTCTAGGTCGCATCCCACATGATTCACCGTTAAAAAGCCAACGAAGCGCAGTTCGTTTATTTATGAGATTATCCTAATGTTTTATTTTACAAACAAATCGAATATATTAATTATTTTAAATTGATTTATAGTTAAGTCAATTTTAATCAATTTTATATTCACAAATTAACATTTTCGAAGACGATTATCCCAAATTAATAAAGTTTTAAATGTTTTGTTGAAGTTTTTCATTGATAAAAAGTCGATTTTATATTCATGACGCAAGAAGACTTCCGAGTTATGTATTTTAATTATATATTTAAAATGTATATATTTTGCTTCATTCGAATATTTATGTTTTCGAAATATGTTAATTTAAAAACAGCTAATTTTTTATGTATATAATCAGGTTTTTTTTTTTTTCCATCAATTATACAATAGTCCGTAAGAGTAGTGCCCTACTCTTCTCTATAAATAAATATTTCTAGTAAATAAATTTTTACTTAAATTAGGTATAATTTCATTAAGTATTTGCATTTACTATAATATTTACAATAAACATTTTAAAATATTTGTAATAAATGTTTATAATCTGTGCAATCTAAGACGACAAAAATATTTACAAAATATTTAAAACAAATCATAAATATTATGTGCCAACTGGGTATCATATCAAAATTTAGTTTTAATGATTTATTAAATTAGTAATATAGAATTTCTTGAGTTTATTAATTTCTAATAACTATAATAGATCTTTTGTATGTGTTTGTATAACAAAGAAAATTAATTTGATTGTATAGCATTCCCATTTATAACATTATTTTTCATTCTATAAATCTATTCAAGTTTTGACAAAAGTTATTATCTCATCCCGCAACGATACATTGACCAATACTATTGTTAAAAGATACATAATTTCAGTTTTTAGGAATTTAATAATTTTTTTCTCATTTTGTGGGCCTATATCACGTATTAAAAATAAATTTACAAAAATTTTCGACTTTTTAACGTGAAAGATTTCTTTACAAAATCGTTTTTTAAAAATATTTCTAAGATTTTTTGTTATTCAGTTAAAAATCACTATACCGCAATTAAAAAAAAAAACAGATTTTTAAAGCTAAAACTTTGCTCTATCGTGCAGTATGACTGCCAATTTTTTTTTAAGAAACATGTTTTTTAAGAAACATTTTTTAAGAGACATCTCACATAAATGGATTGAGTAGTAAACTTTTATTTTTTACTCCAATATTTTGTAATTTAAAACTTTTTGATATTTTATGAACATGATGAGCGTAATGCGATAATTATCTTTGTCTCATATATTTGAACATCTACGTCATAACTTTTGCGATTGTAATTATTTTAAATAAATCAAATTTCATACTGATATCCTTTGTTGGCTCATACAATAATTATTTTATTGTATTAATAAATATAAATAAGAAAATTGAGATAAAGTTTAATTTAATTATCTTACTTTTTTTGTACAAATTTTTAGAAAAGTACATTGGAACATTACGCGTTGAAGAATCTTGTTGAGATGATCTTGATCAGATTCACAGCTTCCAAACTGAGCGAGTAATATCCAGGTATATGTGTAATAGTCACGACTATTCATGCTTGACTGATTCTTATTTCGCACCGATGCGTACGTAAAGAAAGAGACAGCCAGTAAACGAGTTTGAAGAAGCGACAAGTGGGGCGAGTAAAGTATACGTTCTACTTTGCTTTTTTGTCATTTTTCAAAACGGATGTATTCTATTGATTTAAATTCTACAGACATTTGTTATGATTTTTTATCATCTGTTAAGTTTTTGTGGTCTATTCGCACTATGTGACTTTCTGTTTCATATATTTGATCATGTACGTCATAATTTCTTTTCGAGGTAAATAAATAATATATGAATCAATTTCATGATATATGTATATCTCTTAGCACCGAGATTCGATCGAGTCATTTAATAATATTTAAAATGTCAAAGTCTACAGAAAACAAACAATTCTGCTGAATTTAAATAGAAACACACATCCAAAATAATTTTGTTAGATTATCAAAATAATTATGTAGAATTATGTAGAGTCTCAAACAATGTAGAGTCGCAAAATTGCTCAATGGTGAGCAATGCTGCAAAAAGTTTTATCAACAGAAAGATATTATAGCAATCAATTTGAATGTTCTAGATAATTATTTTGATGGCCCAACAAAATTGTTTTCAGATTTTTGTATTTATAAATACATTTTTAGATAATTCAGTAAAACCGTTCTTTCCATGCATAAAAAAAATTGATAAATACACTCGCTATATCATTACTGAATTACTAAATAATTTATTTTATTTAAACTATATAATTTATTTATTATATTAAACTGAAAGCCTACGTATTACATTTACCCAGAATCTTGTTTTCTGCGAACGTATCATGATGTGTTTTCATTGTCTTGACAACTAAGATATCATAATATTTGGAGAAGAGGAATTTGACTGAAATAAAAAGTGTCGAATTCTGAACTTTCAAAAATAATTTACAAGAAAATCAGTTATAAGAAAAAGAAAGTAGATGTGCAACATTTCAAGAACCATTTCATCTAAATACTTTTTTCGATTTTCGAATGCAAAAATTTATTTTATTTAACAGATAATTGCACGATTTGTAGGTATTCTTACATTAAAGAAACGACTGAGTTGTCTCATAAAATTTACAAATACAAAAAAGTCTTAATAAATCCGTAAATTAAATATTCTTAAACAATAAGAATCTTATTTTAGACCATACATACGAGATTTTTTATTTTATAAGCCAATTTTATTGTGCGATTACATATACTGTGGAATAAATATTTCAAAGTGTTTAAAATATCGATATTTTTTAAATTTAAAAATTCACAGAATATAAAAAGTACAGAATATCACAAAAAGAATTTTACTTTGCAAACTTATATTCAAGTTTTGTTACGTGTTTATGGATTCTATTAGCCAGTTTCATTTTTACCTATAATTTCGAAACTTTGTATACACAAGAAAAAAGAAAGAAAATGAATCTTACAGTGATAATAGAAGGGTTAAACAAAAATTAAAATAAATTATATAGCATCTTCCATTGAGTGTTATACATGATGTCTTTTTTATCATATTGAGGAGCCAAAAAATATGCCTTCACTTTTTAAAATAAAATTATGTAATTTTTTCACATAATACGTTCTCCTAATTAGTCTGCGCATAAAAGTAGGAACATCAATAAATCAATAATTTAGATAATTGATAGTTCAGATATTTTTTTAAATTCCTTTTTAGATTTGAGATATTTTATATTTCATATCACAATTTACCAGAATAAAGTATAAAATATCCTGTAAACTATTTGATTTTTCAATACTCTCTACTTTGATATATTTTTATGTGTGTGCAGAATATTTAGAAGGATCATACGTGAAAAAAAATTACCTATATTACCTATATAAAAATCTGGATTGGGAAAGTTACTTTGTAAAAATAACTAGTTACAGTTTTTTTCTTTCAAAAGTAATTAGTTGCAATTCCAAGTTACCAAAACCAAAATTTAACTCGTTACAATTACAGTTACTAAAAAGTATCTTTTAAAAGTAACTTTTCAATTACTTTTTTATTATCATGACAGAAAAATATGAATGACATCGATATCATTAGGGCTATCAAAGAAAAAAAAAATTACGTAAATTTACAATTTACTGACCAATCAAAAAATACTTTAAAACATTTGTAGTGAACCGTATCCTTAATCAGTATTCAGATTTTAACCAATCACATTAAATTGACAAATAAGTTTAAAATGTAAAGTAACTGTAAAAGTAACTATTAAATTAGTTTTTTGTATCATCAATAATTTCGGACAGAGAACATTTACTATTAAAAATAAAATAGGACAACCTATATAAATTTCTGGAAATTGACGAAAACAAAAATAATTATATAAAAAGGAATTAATTTTTGTTTTTCTCATAACTAAAGTTTATATAAATGTGATTTATACTGTTTAAGAATAAGAAGGAAAGAAGGAGAGAGAGAGAGAGAGAGAGAGAGAGAAAGAGAGAAGCGAATACAATCGGAACGATATTTATTACAGAAAGATTACAAGATTATATTCAGGACTATAAACATTTTAGACGCGGTCCATGCGCCGTGATTAGGACGCCGGGGTTTCCCTGTTTAATGTGAAAAATATTATTTACATTGCACATATATCACTAGCGTTACTATCAAACGAGCGGACAATTGGTCGCTGAGAACTCTCCGCGAAAAGGCCGTTCCGAACGAAGAGAATACAACCTCATCTCAACACGATCGTCTTCTCCATAAAGAAATGATCTCAAGAGGACTTCTAGCATAAATATGATCCCTCCACCCGATGCGATCGAGTTATCATTCGTATTCAACTGATCAGATTATCAGGATCACCGAATTAGCCTCTAGAAATCTCGCGTTGCGTTCGTTCACCCTCAACAGATTACTTAGCATACGTAATTTTAACGCTAAAAGAGCCGAAAAAGAAGAACAATCTTGAAAGACAAGCATCTTTTTCTCCCTCGAGATGTTCACCTAAGAATTTGAAAATTTCCTCGAAAACTTACTTTCTTTATCCCTAATCGAGATCTATAAAATTTACAGAATTTACGAATACTCGAGGAAAATTTATACTCGTCAGTACAGTTCTTTCGGCGCAAAGTTTTAATCTTTTGCTAATCTTTCATGCGCGTAACATTTCAAAATAACTTCAACTTCATGTTCGCAAAATATCAGTTTTTTTATCGCACGACCGTGCCGGACAGTGTCGCGTTTGAGGCACTCGCGCCGCGGAAAGTCGCTCAAAAGGAAAGGGAGAGAGGACGCGTGTTCTCTGATAGGGAACGTCGCTAAGATAAGCGTCTAAACATCACGAATGGATAGCAGTTGCGGGTTGGCGTCGAGAGAATCACTAATACTCGTATAAACGCGTATAAGACCAAAAATAGCCATTTATAGTCGGTTGAGTCGTCGAGAACGAATGAAGTAGTTCTCTAATAGGCGACTATCGTCCATCGCAATCACGAACGGACGCTAATTGTAACCATCTCTGAAGAACGCAGGTAAATGCGAGTTTTTTTTTGCTCTCACTCTCACTGCGTCTTACTATCTTTCTTTAAGTACCGAATATAATATTACTATTACTATCATTTATGTCTACATTCATCGTATATACGCGCCGTCTTCGTTCCACGGCATTATCACCTTATTTCGCTGCCGTTAATCACTATCTTATGTCGTTATAATAAAATACGTCTATATGTATATATATATATATATATATTTATATATATATATATATATATATGCAATATGTATATACGTATACATATATACGAGGTTCACGCGATTGAATTCTTAATGTCTACTGCAATGAAAAAAATATGTTTCCCTTTTTAAAATTTTTTTCTCAGCACTTTGGAATTTCTTTTATCGCAAAGATTTCAATTATCGCACGCGTAACATGTCGAAAGAAACAACGAATTACTTGATTCATTCGGGCTATCAACGAATCGGGCCATCATATATAAATAGCGGTAACTGTCGGCGATGTTAATCAATTGTTAAGGATACTTGACACTTACAACTCGCGATGTACTTTTAACCCGAGATATAATCACTATTAAGTATCGACTAAAAACAAAATATTCGAAGTCGGACGTTGCGGATTCGAACTTTGTGGACGATTAAAGTGCTGCTAGAAATCTGCCATTAATGCAGCATAAATTTAATTAAACGAAGACAGACGAAGATAAACGCCAGTGAAATATTACGTTACATTAATCACGACGTTCACAGAACAGATATGTGATAGTTTTTTGGTGATAACGTTCATAACGTTAATTCCTAAAAATTGAGAATTAATAAGAGAGAATTATATGACAAATTGCAGTAAGACGACGTAGATGATTTAACTACCAGTATCTGAAAAGCGTCTGAAGCAGGAAATATCACTTTCTACAGGGATAAAACGCGTACAAAAACTCTAATCGTATAAATAAGTCTATAAGCGCTTAACAGGATGATATCTTAAAGTAGTCGTTACATAATAA